AGCTAGCCACTGGAGTTCTTGCCCATCCCCCAGAAAGTCTTGCTCATCATGCTACTGTTATCATGCTACATGCTACTAGATGACACCTTTCGAGGAGATAAGTTATTCTGCTTTGTGCAGATCACAATGAACACACAATGCATTTTGAGTCAATATGACTATACACACAAATTATACTGAACACACAATAAGAGTCTTGGATAGGCTGTGAAACACATCCAAACACATCCATTATCCCCACTGGGATAAATACTACTATTTCAATGTTCACCATATTAAGATAGACAATAAATCACGACACTTTAGTCACTTTAATAAGTTAGGATTACAATGAGCCCTGCATATAGGGCAAATGTATGCACATATGGGTAGGGATACACACACACACACACACACACACACACACACACACACACACACTTTTAATTAAGAGGATGGGTGGAAACACATGGAAGTTAAATGAAGGAGGCTTCCGGTTGAAATGTTGAATCTCCTATGCACCGTCGTTTTAGAATGAATCCGTATACAGATGTACTTGTATGGCTATGAGATATGGGATGTGTTTAAATTTTCTATGCGCTGAATATTAAAGGAATGCAATCATAAAAAAAACATGTCCATGGACGTTGGAGTATAAGAACACCACAAGATAGGTGTAGGCAACCCCTTCTCTCCAGCCTGGACTGGTGGTCCCTCCCTTCTATAGCGGCCCCAAGGTCCTCCTTTCCTCCCCTCCTTGGGACACAAAGAACTGGACGGAGCATTCCCTCCTTGGAGGTCTGTCTCCCCACCTAGGCTCCACATAGAGAGCTAGACCCTCAGTAAGCCACTCCACTTGGGTGGTGAGTAAAATTGGTATATGGTGGTATAAACGGTCGTGGGATTCTCCCCGTTGGGTATAGAAAACCCAGGCACATGTCTCTGTATATTCTGTGCACTTTATATACTTGAAAATAGACCTAATAATTCTGTGGATTCCTGCTAATTGAATGGATCATTATATTTTTTGTTAGGGTAGGTCACAATCCCCTGAAGAAGCCAGGTTGTGAAACGCGTAGGGATTGGACATATATAATATATTGATCTATAATGGTTATGTCTGAATATGTCTAGTGGGTTTATGCCTCTGATTTAACTTTGTTTTTAATTGGTTGCAACTGCTGTTGCCCCCTTTTTTACTCAATTAAAAAAGGGGGCAAATATATTTGCATTATATGTGCTATTTAAATAAAACATTTATTTTCACAACACTTCAAGCCATGGTGTCATATCTCTCATAAACCCCGGTATTTGTTCCTGTTGTTTTGTAATTCATCATGCTACTGTATCATTTACCTCCCTTCTAATGTAATTTTAATAATGTAAAACAAATTTTATATCCAACTGAAAGTGTGAGACAGGCTTGTTACGGTATAATAAGATTAGGCATCTCACCTAGTCCTTGAGAAATGTATATAGTTGATGGGTAAGACGAGCTACTGTAGTCTACACAAAATGTAATTACCCATTTGTCAGACTGTGAAAATCTGTTTGTATGACTCAACTGACAAAAGGCTATAGGGTCTATGTAAAAAAACATTTGCAGAGTGGCAAATCTATTTTGCAGAGATTTATAGAAACCTATGTGTGCAATCAGTGATCTGTTTACCTTAAAGCTTGCACATAAATTGTAAAGCTATTAAACACTAAGATAAATAAATAGTAGCTTCAAAATGCTTATTATCTAGAGAACATAAAAAAAATTCCAGATTAAAAAAAAAAAAACTTAGCAAAATCAAGAACTTACTTCAAGTGCATAATAAGGAGGCTTGTCTCTGCCAAGCTGGTAGGCCACAGTGGTCAATAAACCATGATCAGACAGAATAGGCTGTATGACGAAACATAAAAACCGTATCAACACACTGCATACTACAAGAACAAATAGTAAATAAGTGAAAAATTATAGACATATGAGGTCCTATACAAGTAGTTGAATACAGTGTGGACATAAAGTCATGTTAACAGCCTTGCTGGAGTGGTAAAAAGAAAAGTCAAAATACCTATTTTTTTGTGGCAAAAATAGTATGCCAGTTTCCTTTAAGTGTTTGCCACATGTGTGATGGCGTAGGTACTTAGCAATTTAATCTCTGCTGTAGAGTAGGATCAGTGTTTGCATTGACTGACCCTCCTTGCTTTGAAGAGACCATAAGATCAAGTGCCTAGGCATTCAGACACTTGGCCAGCCATGCAGGAAGAATGAGGAAGCACGTTCAACAGCACTCTCCTGTAAGAAAGGAATTACAGGGAGCCAATGATGACCTCCTTCTAAAGATATTAGTTCCCTGGCTATCTCAGGTGTCCAAAGTTTTATAGCCACTTACCTGGAATAAGAATGCAGATTTTAGTGAAGTAATAGTGAAGTCAGAACAGCTGATCTGCACACTTAATCCAGGTCTATGCCTCAGAAGTAGGGTTGCCACCTTTTCTTCCAGCGAAACCCGAACACTCTAGCGACGCATGGACATTTTTTGGGGAGTCATGGCTTATTCGTATGTAAATAACGTCACCCATTCATGTGTAAATATCACAGTTAAGACTATTTTTACTGGGGGGCCGATAGCCCCTATCTTAATTTTGGTTGCCCCTGTCTGTCTGACATCATGTGTCCAGGTCTCAGCTGCCATGAAACCTGGACACAGCATTCAAAACCCTGACTGTTCGGGTGAATCCTGGACAGGTGGCAACCCTACTCAGAAGGTATTAAAACCATTGAATGAGCATGCTGGGCTGTCACGGCTTGTATAATCTCCCCAGAGAGATGCCACCATTCCTATGCTGACAGTTCATTACTCTGTTTAGCCAATTAGCAAGAAAAGCTACATTTATATATTGAGCACAGATCTCAAAATGTACATAATATATTTACTGCTATATATTTGCATGGTCCAGCAAATGTGTATTGAATTTTTGGCTGAATTTGGAGTACTTCTTAAATACAAAAAGGTGTTTGATGTGTTTTCTAAGTAACCATTAATCTATAAAAGATGTTCAGACATCTTAGAGAGTTTCATCTAGTTATCACTGATCACAGAAACAGGGTTATTCACAAAAGGGTGAAGAGTTTGGAGAAGGCAGGAGAAGGGAACAATCTAGGCCAGTGGTGGCGAACCTTGGCACTCCAGCTGTTTTGGAACTACAAGTCCCATGAGGCATTGCAAGGCTCTGACAGCCACAGACATAACTCCCAGAGGCAGATGCATGTTGGGATTTGTAGTTTTGGCACAGCTGCAGTGCCAAGGTTCGCCACCACTGATCTAGGCCAACATATCTGATCTGGAAAGTGAGCTGAATTGGGAGAATTTTTCCAAATCAGCTATGTTGTCCTAGATTGGTCACTTCTCCTGCCTTCTCCAAACCCTTCACCCTTTTGTGAATAACCCTGAACCTCATTGATCAGCTTCAATTTATATTAAGTAAATCAGTCGGCTAATTAGCTAGGCTGACTTAAATTCCTCACCTTTAGCCCTGTATTACAGAGCAGGAAACAGCCCGTACCATATCTGCAGAAAAAAGATAGAACAGTAAAAAAAAAAAAATTTCTGTTGAATATTAGGCAACAACTCTGTTGTCTATAATAGTACATTGCTTTTATTGATCCATTTATAGCTGAACCACCCACTGGTGATTATTTACTGGAGATACAGTTCTCAGAGTTAAGGCTGAAGAGGTAAAAAGATGACAGGACAGATCCAATACTTAGAGCCAGTGCGGGACACTGTAGGTGGCAGATCCCGGCTCTATACTGAGAGCTGAGCAATCATGAACCACTGACTGCTCACAGCTTCTCCCTGAGAGAACAATGTCTGACAGTCCCCGCTCCATGCACTTCCTCCAGCTCTAATTGGAAGGACACATAGGGAGGGGACGGGCACAGTTGCTGTGCCGCCCCAACAGGGGCATAGAATATGAGATGCATAGCCTCAGTTAAGATTAGCATTGTTATATAGGTTAGAATTTATATAGTGTGATTTGCCTAACTATTTTCTCATAGCTAAATTCATGTGTTATCCTATGCTGCCATCTAGTGGCCTTTTGTTGTAACAAACATGTTTTCTGTAATTATTCCTCATGTGACGATGTATTTTCCCCTAGTGTAGCCCCACCCTTCTTCCTGTGTGCAGTACTTCCTGTGTCATGGGCACAGTTGAAAGCCACATGTAACAAGGACACTCAGGTAATCTGCACAGTACGTAGGAAAGGCATCATTTTCTGACCGCACAATACTATAACCGTTCAACTGCTGTTCCTATCATCTGCTGTAATCCTGATGTAGAAGAATAAACACCTTTTTTGAATGAATCGGTATTGACGAGTTCAGCTATCTGACGAGGATTGTTCGCAGTGAGTATATCTGCTTATACAGGCCAGGCATAGAGGTCTCAGCAAGGGATATATCTCGCTATCACAACGATCGGAGTCAGAATAGTTGCTTCTGGTTCAAGAGAGGCAGAGCCAGTTGTCAATCAGGTAGCGAAGTTGATCACAACAATATTGTTGGGTTCCTTCCTGGCTGTGGCACGCCTCTGTGATGTCAGCAGATAGAGGGCAGTAGCCTATCTTCTGACTTTGGGTCACAGGAGTATATTACTAATGTTAAAGCCTGTGTTATTTTTCAGTTTGGTAATCGGGCCCCACTTTTTTATTTCGTGTACGCAAGTTTTACTTGACCGTGTCTCTGCTGCCTTTTTTCTCTCTCAGGGATTCCAGTGGCGAGAGAGTTGAAATCTCAGTTCTGATGAGTTACTACGACTATCACAAAGACAAACATGTCTCATTTTCTGTACTGAAGCAAACAAATTACCAAGGAGAGGTCCAACAGAGTGATACCTTTGTTAGGTCCTTATGGATAGATTTAAAATATCTCTGGAACTTAAAATATAAGAAGCAGCTGGTGGATTCCACAATGGTGCCAACCAAAACCTGAAATATCGGTTCTGGGTGCAATTGAATTTTCCACTCACGTATTTTTTGCTTGTCCATCTTGAAAACACATTTGTCCAACCAGTGCAGCAGATTGGTCACCCAAACACTGTGGGAGAGGGGAAAAAAAACAAAAAAAAAAACTTATACAACCTATTTTATTAAGAAACATCTCATGTGAGAAATATATACATTGCAATACCTGGCCTCCTCCTGAAAAGCCTACCTGCCCAGTTGTCATGCTGATCCTCTGGCTGACTCAGAACAAATATGAAACCAGCAATGTAAGAGTGAAGTTAGAACATCTAACCTGTATTGTTTCGGGTCAGTAACCCAAAGTACTGAAGTAAGAAGATGAGCATAATCTCGGAGGACAAAGTTTTCTTTAACCATTTGAAGTCCACATGATGTTTTTTATAAATGTTATGGACTTTAAGTGGTTAAAGCAAGTTCACAGCTGGAGGAGCAGCTATAAGCTTGGTGTAATTTTTTGGGCTGGCTATTCAGTAAAAGTAATCCGGATGTCACTTTCTTCACTTCTCCATGTCTGTATGTGCGTGACTCCTCCCATCGTACCCCCTCAGAATGTTTACAAAGTATTTCGTGTCCACATTCCCCATCTACTTATCTCCTTTTGTGACCCACAAATGTGCACATCTGGAAATTAGACAAGATTCTAGGTACACAAAATTGTAAGTATATGTGAGGAAGGTCCAAAGACACCCATTAATCCAACTTTCAGCCATAATGCATACATTACTGTACCCCTACAGGAGGAAGTTGTTCATTAGATTATTTTGTGAAAAAATATTTAAAACACATTATTGGTATACAGCATATCCAGTTTACCCTCTGAACATGCTGCAACATGATTTGTAATTTGTATACACACATATCATAAGAGCAAAAATGTAACGTAAGGGGGTATTAAAAAAATATATATACAAAGCGGGAAACATTACTGAATCCAATACTTTAATATGGTGAGCCTGGTATACCAATATGGTTAGCAACTGTGTATCTTCAATCTGTTATGCAAGGATCACTATTAGGAGCTCTCCCAAATTGGTTCCACAGTTTCCAGAAAAAGACAAGAAGATTGCACACTAGTTAGTTGCTTTAATCTGAGAAAGGATGGAAATGGAAACTGCTGCTGTACATCACTGTACACAAAACATACTTGCATAATACAACTGCATCATGTCTTCAATAGGTTAAAAAGAAGACAGATCCTTGTAAAGTAAATAGACAGTTTCCATGCACAATGCCTTCACTCGTGTCCACTGTAATGAAGGTTAACTAATCAACTCACCCCAGATACCGGAACACCAGTCAAGGCTCCAGATTTCTAAAATTAAAAAAAAGAAAATCAAATCAAACATCAGAGAACTCAAAGCATGTCTAAAATCATCATGCTCCTGTGGCATTGGTGCAAAATAATCCAATGTCTCCATATATATGCAACAAATGTGCAGCTGAACAGGACATAATACTTGTGAGTGTGTTCATACAATTTTATCGTGAACCCACATAAGCAAAGCAACCAAGCACTTTCCAGTTATTCTTTACAGCATATCTCCTGTCCAATTTTACTAGGAAGTACTGGAGTGATAAGCAAGGACATCTAATGGTCATTGTTATGAAATGGTAACTAAACTAAAGGCTGGTAATAGGAATGCAGCTACAATCTGAGGAATGGCCACATAAATCAGTGACATATCAGGGTGGGCATCACACCTTTTTTTATATATGTTAGCATTACTAAGAATAAGTAATCATCTATTAGATGAATGAAGGTTGAGAAGTATACGGATAAGAGATGCAAAGGCAGAGTAGAACAATAATAGGGGACCTATGGTGTTATTATGCTGGAATCTATCTCTGCACTTTAACTGGAAATTGCGTGGTTTGCACTCCAAGTGCGTGTGAGACATGACTGGTGAAAAGCTCAGCAAGAACCTTTACTCACCAGACTAGGACAGATTTTCTATGGTAGGCAAAAAAAAAAGGACAAACAGTTCACAACATATGAAAGTTATTGTTTTACCTGTTGCTTACAAAAGTAAAGATTTGTTGGGTCAAATTATACTGTAGGTAACAGGAGAATAGCCCTAGAAAAGTATTTTGCTGGGACTAGCTGTATCAGGTAATATGTTTTATTTCCACTGAAGTCTTTCCTGTTTTTACAACCTGAAACTTCTGCTTTCATCTTGTTTGGACAGTTACTGGAATATGAAAGGAGCCTTAATAAAAAGTCTTAGCTGCACAAGCTACATCAACCCTTGACAGTTTGTAACATCTCCCACATTCAATCACTATAACCACCTACTACACAGTAAAATATATTATTAGGAACTGATCATCTAGGACTGCATTCCAAGTATCTGCCACTCTTTGGTTTGCATCATAGGTTGCCATCATCATTATCTGACTGATGTTGGGTAAGATGTCAATCAATGTATTTTTCCATTTACATCCCATCTAATTAAAATGTCAAGGAAACGTATGAGATTCTCATACATTTAATTGTGAAATACAAAAAATATTATGTTCCAAAATTAATTTCAGAAGTTGCAGAACAAGCTGAGTATGTCTCTCGAAATCAATAATGTTTCTACATCAAGGCTAGCAAGAACTATGTCCTTGTCCTGTAAGATCTTCTAGTTTGTTTACAAAGTCACACATATCCTCAATATATGAGGGGAGATTTTGTACAAATGGTCTTAAAGAGAAACTAAATTCAGGAGTTAAATCTAAAAAAATGCATTCAAGTACCCTAACTAATAACAAAAATGTATCTTATTTGTGTATCACTCGGCTGTGGATCCTCAAATCATCTCTGAATTCATGCCGACACTTTCCTTCCTTCTGGAGGGTGGCTACTTTGGTTCCCCTTGGTCCGTGTGTGTGTGTGTGTGTTGTAAAGTAGCCAATCTCACTCCCATGATGGACAACAATCTTACATTTAGTTTGTATTGAAATTATAGTCTCTCCTGGGAGCAAGTTTTACTTTAATATTGTAACTGTAGAATAAGCCCACATCAAGGCTGGCAAGAACTATGTCCTTGGCTACTATAAGATCTTCTAATTTGTTTACAAAGTCACATGTAGCCTCAATATATGGGGGGAGATTCTGTACAACTATTCTTAATATTGTATCAACATATTACCTTGCTCACTTAGTAAGGCTCTGATTGCTGGAAACAACCGGGTGTCCAGGTGAATTAGACTGGTTCTTATGTATCTTAGGCAGGAAGTAAAAGGTTGCTATGGTTGCAACATTATTTAATATATACGTACACTGCCTGTCCAAAAAAAAGAAAAAAAAATCACTACCTGGATTTAGCTAAGCAAATAGGTAAGGGCCCTCCATTGGATAGGCCTTATGATGTAGGGTTGCTTCAGTTGGCCAGGTCTAGGTTCAGCAACACTATGTTCCCAAAACAATGAGGTCAACTGTCTACCTGAATATATTGAATGACCAGATTTTTCCATCAATGGGTTTTTTTCAATGCCAGGATTCATTGGGCTCAAATTGTGAAAAAGAGTAATTTAGGGAGCATAAGCCATTTCCAAACATGGAATGGCCACCAACCACAGAGTCCAGACCTTAACCCCATTGAGAATCTTTGGGATGTACAGGAGAAGACATTTTGCAGTAGTTCAACTCTCCCATCATCACGATCAGAACTTGCTGAAAAATTAATGCAACTCTGGACGGAAATAAATGTTGTGATATGGCATAAGCTTATTGAAACCATGCCATGGCATATGTGTGCCGTAATCAAAGCTAAAGGCGGTCCAACAAAATAGAAGAGTGTGTGACTTTTTTTGGCCAGGCTGTGAATCTTCTTGATCTTTGACAGTAATATTAAACATTTCTGTGTTAAATCTACCCCCAACATTTCATATTTTTTTGTATTGCTCGGGATGTCCAGACAGATCTTCAAATATTAAATTCTGTCTAGCAAAACAATATTTCTTCCTTTCCCAGCTGGTTTGTTTTTATTGTTTTGAAGTTCCATAAATGATTTCCTTTCTCTATCCATTAGATTTTGTTCTTTCTTTCCTTTTATTTTTTTCTCTTTTTTCCATAGCAACCATAATTCATTCTTAACCAGTTTAAGACAAAAAGTTGTATACTACCACCCTGAGCATTTTTTTTTCTGTATTCTTATCCTGATCACTCAACTGTTCACTTGCACAGTATTAGATTATTACTAGCTCCTTTCAAATCTACCCACTTACTAAAATCATCTAGGAGCAGGGGTGGGCAAACTCCGGTCCTCTGGCTGTAGTGCTAGAGAAGCATTTCAAGACTCTGGGAGTCATATCTGTGGCTGACAGAGTCACGATGGAATTTACCCACAGCTGGAGGGTCAGAGTTTGCTTTCCCCTGATCTAGAGTATGGCGAGTATAAGAGCAACGGTACAAGTGACATTTGTTTGCTTTGTTTTTATCCCACATATTTTACAAAGCTGTACATTTGGGTAGTATAAAAGCAATAAAAGCAAGAAAATGTTATTATTACCATTAGTCCATAGATTTCAGAACTACTTCTCACTTTTGGCAGCAAACTCATGGGAATATCGAAAAACCTAAAAATAAGAGACAATAAATCGTGATTGTATGTTATCGGTCAGTATGAAAGGTTGCAAACTCTATATTTAATACCCAGATTCTCTCATAAATAAAGTCACTGTGTGCTAAGAAACAAGTGGGTCATTCAGCACCATAGTTTAAAAACAGTATGTTTGTTTGTATACATATGCAATTACACATCAGTTTACCACAGTGTCTAGTTGTTCTAGAACATCTCCAATTATCTTCTCTTTTTAAAAGCATAATTCCACCCAAAACTGGTTTTCTAGTTTGGGTGTGTCCTGGCTAGGCAGTTGTAACCTCACCTTTTGTCCTCATTACCACTGTTAAAAGGAGAGAAAGTGAGAGGCAATCCAACATTTTACAGTTGTCACCAGAACAAGAATAGAAAGGGGACACTTATTCTGGTGACAACTTTCAGAGTTAACATTTCCCCTCATTTGGGGGGAGATTTTTACTTACTTCTTGTTCTGCCCCTGGTACCAGACAGCAGTAAAACCTGACAGGGGTTCTAACCATCCCTTATTCTATCCAAAAATCCCAAAACATTTTTGATAAGAATCTTTATTGGTTTTAGTTTGTTGATGTGAATTCAGTACACAATAAAATAAACTGTGTTTGGGGGCCATATTTAATATATTCAGACAGAGGAAGGGGCTGCAAATGAGCTAAAGAACGACAACATCAATGTAGCAGTCCATGTTCACTTTTATGCAGCGCAAATGAAAACACTTTGTAAAGAACCCGCCTGTACTGGGCTAAATGACCTAATAAACATTTTGGATAACTACAATATAATAAAGAATGAACAGAAGACTTACTGGCAGAGCTCTACATCCCACTCCAGAGTGTTGATATTGAACAGCATAGTTCTGCTGGCGTTGGTCACGTCTGTACAGTGCACACCGCCATTCTTCCCTCCGGTAAGGCTCTACAGACAGTTGAAAGCACATTTAATTATTTGGGCTACCCTTCATTGCTCTCCGTTAATTAACCTAGGACTAAATTCTACATCCCCTCAAAAAAGGGCCATGGTAACAACAGGTAAGCTTTTCATATTTCTAAAGGGTGTATGTATGGATTGGAATGTTTTCTGAAGTGTATTAAAGCCACACACACACAACATAATCCATAGTACAAAGTGAAAAACTCACTACAACCTATCCACACCCTGCACTTTATACCATAAGGGTAATGGGTTACAAGTTAAGCCCATAAACTTCTCTGTCACCTTTGGTAAAGGTGTGCCACTTACATAGATATGGCTTTGTATACCAGAGCTGCTGTGTACGCAGTATGTTCTGGATAACGCTCAAAATGCTGTAACCTACAAGTCCCAGTTAGATTCATGCCCGGATCTGTTTGGCAGCTTTGGGTACCTACTCTTCATTGTCTGGCTCTTTAAATGTACTTGTATGTTCATAAATGCGAATAACAATTGAGACATTTTTGTAACAAAACAAAAAAAAACAAACCCACACATAATATCAAAAACGCCACAAGATTCAATCAAAGACATTTCAGTTGTAATAAGCACAAACCCAGATAATCCAGGAGTCCACAGTTCCAAACATGGCTCGGCCTTCTTCAACCGCGTGCCTGATTTCTTCCACATTGTCCAACAGCCATCGCAGTTTTACTGCACTGAAATAGGTGCTCAGAGGAAGACCAGTTCGATTCTGAAAATAACGGTTAAATTGTGGGCACAAATATAAATCAACCAAAAGGTTTTTAAAATCGTAATAAACTCGGAAACTTTTCTTCAATAATGAATCCAGATCATACAACTATACCTCACCCAGAAAAGTATTTATGTTTTTTGCCCAAGCACTACAGTCATCATGTTTTCAAACCGCTGACTCCTACTATCTCAGCTTGGCTTCCCTGAACTTCCTATCAAGTACAAGATCTCAAGGGACACAGAAGTCTCCAGCCGCTGTTCATCTGCTAGCTTGGAGAAGGAAGAAGGGAGGAAGGTGGAGGGGCAGGGGAGAGGCTTGTCTTGCTGTGCCTTTGTGCTTGTGGAGATACACACAGCTTACTAGCACACACAAGGTGGCTCCCATAGAACCCTGCAAGGGAAAGGAGCCAACCTAAAACAGGATGACAGGATCAGTGCTCAGGGGACAAGCTGATTCTACAGGAAACAAAATTTTAAACATCAAGGAGCAGCATCCATTTTAAGTGGTTTAATCAACATTTGAAATAACTTAAAGGAGAACTATGGGGTTAGGGCTTTTCCCCATAGTTCTCCTTAGGGTAACGGGAGGACACAAACTAGCGTCCTCCCCTCACCCTAATCTCAGTATACCGCGAGCAATAGCTCGCTATAGACTAAGACGCCGCAGCTGAAACGGATCCCGACAATTATGTCTGGATCTGCCCAGCTGCGTGAGTATGACTGTATGAATTATAATTCACCTCAGCAAATAGTGTGCGGCATTGTGTGGAATATCAAATATATAAGCAAAGCATACTTCACAGGTGATGGCAAAGTAACTTCTGAATACAGTTGAATAGGTACAATTAGATGATTTGCATTTAAATAACATGCCCGGTTGTCACCATTTATTGTGTTGATAGTTGAGGTCACACTAAAAAATTTAGCACTTCCCAGATGTGACATCCAACAGTGTCTAGTTCTCTGCAATTAGCAAAGTATCCACAAGATGTCAGCATATACGGCATATACTCAGATAGAGATAATTACTGCTGCTACGGTTAGCAAAGGCAAACAAAGACAATTCAGGTGGCAAGCCTCTTTACTGGAAAAAATTCAAAAAACAGCAGGTACCACTGCTCAAATTTACAGAATTTATCATTGATCTTTAAGGCTAGGTACAAATGGTAGCAGGAGTCATACAACACCGTGTAAAAATCCCATGCTTCACCCAGTGCCAGCTGCTTTCCCACCTAGGGAGAAATACAAATGGCAACTGCTGTGTCAAAATGAACCAATGCCCTAATTACTGTTTATTTTAGGCCTAGTGCTTCCTTCTAGTGTTCTTGTACCCTGGCCCATACCTATAGGTGAAACACTGAAACATGTGGAACACAGGCCAGTATACCTAGGAGAGTATTTGACATAAGCTTTAGGCCCCATTCACACTGAGCGATTTATGGAGCAATTTTTGCAGCGATATCGCTCGTATTTCCGCGCTATATCGATCTATGTAGCTTCACCAATACATTTCAATGTAGCTGTTCACATCTCGTCGCTCAATATCGCTTGTAGCTTGTCGCTCCTACATGACCCTTTTTTAGAGCGATTTTGAGCGATATTGCTCCTGATTGCAGCCCAATAGGAAGATGTTGCGCGACACGTCGCTCAAAGTCGCGCGATTTCCATGTCGCTCAGTGTGAATGGGGTCTAAAGTGGCTGAATGCTTATGTCCTCTTTAGTTACTACACCACTTGATTACTAGGTGGCAGATGTTGCCTGTACACAGCACTATATGGCTGCTGGGCTGTGCATACCCAGAACTGTATCCAGCAGGCTTGTAAACGGCAGATGAGGGATTCCTGCTGCAGGAAAATGCAAGTTCCTGACACAGGAATCTCTAATCAAACCAGAAATATACTGTAGGTGTGAATCGGGCCTAATATACACATACACTTAGAGCTGCAACAATTATTCGATTAAGATCGACGATGGAAAACGTTGTCAACGTTTTCCATCGTCGATTCGTCGGCTAAAATTCAAATTTCCCGCTCGCCGCTGCACCCCGCTCACGCCCGCTGCTTACGCCCGCCGCTTACGCCACACCCACGTCAGTTAAGCTGCTCGCGCCTACGCTGGTATCCCCGCTTACGCCACGCCCACGCTTCCCGACTCGCTGCTGCCCGCCGACAACACCGTCATTCAAGGTAAGTCGAGATCGGCCAGGAGCTTTGTAATGTTTCCTGTGTGTTTTTTATTTTTTTTAAAGGGGCACACTGCAGAACATTAGTAGCTATAGAGGAACACCAAATCACTGCAATAATACATTAAACAGCCTGTATAATGTATTATTGCTGGGATTTGTTGTTCCTTTATAGCTGCTAATGTTCTGTAGTGTGCCGGTGTATTATACATTGGTATTCTGTAGAGCTGCAACAATTAGATTAAATCGATAAAAATCGACGATGGTAAATGTTGTCAGCGTTTTCCATCGTCGATTCGTCGGCTAAAATTTTAATTTCCCGCTCACGCCCGCCTGTTCGCAGCTCAATACACGAGTTACGTTATGCACGCTGCGGACGCCATGCCCACCGCGCACACGGCCGCCGGACACACGCCCGCAGAGCACGCCGCCGCAGCGACTTACAAGGGTTCAGAAACAGGTAAGGGGGACCTGTTTTAATGTTTCCTGTTTTAAAAAAAAAAAAGCGGCACACTGTAGAACACCAGCAGCTATAGAGGAACAACAAATCCCAGCAATAATATATTAAACACCCTGTATAATGTATTATTGCTGGGATTTGTTGTTCCTCTATAGCTGGTGGTATTCTCCATCGCGCTGTATAATGTATTATTGCTGGGATTTGTAGTTCCTCTATAACTGGTCAGTGGTAATCTGCATTGTGCAGTATAATCATTATACAGCGCAATGGAGAATACCACCAGCTATGAAGGACTACAAATCCCAGCAATAGTACATTATAGTATAATGTTGTACTATTGCTTCTACCGCGCCAAGCTTGCTCCCGTGATGGACTACAATCTCAATAGAAACTAGTAGTCCATCACTGGAGCCTTTTTTTTATCCGATTAATCGAACTTAATAATCGGCTAACTAATCGATTATGAAAATAATCGTTAGCTGCAGCCCTACATACACTAAAGGTGTTCATACACCTGCCGATCGTACGATAGTTGTGGGTGATCGTACGATAATCGGCAGGTGTATGGGCAGCGTGCGACCGCTTCTACTGTAAGGTCTTTCATCTTCCGAGCACGCTGGAAAACCTGCCGAAAAACGTACGATTTTTGGCGGGTCGGTGGCGTGGTCGGAAGATGAATGCAGCACGGGCCGGTGTGCGCAAGCGCACACTGCCCACTCTGTACTGCAATCATCGGAAGCCTACCCCTCAGCAGGGAGGGCTTGCGATGATCGCAAGTACGATCTGCCTGTCCAAGATGGGCAGATCGTACAAAATTTTAATGACCTTACAACCATTGCATAACGAAAAAGCAGTGAGGTCTACTCGCCAAATGCGAGCAGGCGAGTGGAAATGTTGAGCCCTGCTGTACAGTATAAATTATTAGAGCAAACAGAATATGGAGCAGTTGCCCACAGCAACCAATCAGCATCTCTCTTCAGGTTTGCCCAGGTAAGATTTGAAAATGAGAGAAATAAGCTGATTGGCTGAAGTGCGAATCTGCTCCAGATTTTGTGTGCTCTAGTTTAGATAAATTCCCCCCAATGACTTTTGTTAAATGCTGTCTACCTTAAAAAAATTCTTGTTCCTTCCTGGAATTTTCTTTAATAATCTCTCAACAGTTGACTGGGTCCTCAGGTCAAGCCACACTGGAAAAAACAATAATAATAAAATCATTTTATCCTTGTTAGCAAATACTGAGATGGATATATACATTCACATAAAATATTGTCATCAGACACATACAGTGCAAGTTGGCTTTCATGTTGGCATTGCTGCTTTGTAGTTGTCTGGAACACAGACAATGAAAAACAGAAAAAGTTCTGGCCTTCTGCTAGTCTACTAAAACAATAAGCAATTTCACTTCTGTTTGTGTCCTTGAGAGTAAATCTTTCCAGCAGAATCCCATGTAGAAGTAAAAAAAGATTCTAAGCTTTCTCCACTCTATCCAAAAAAAAAAAAAAAAGTTTTGGATGGAAATATAAGTTTTACGGGCCACACCATATAGAGTGCGTTCCGGCACGGTTCCCTGCCTAAAACGCACTGGATCTCATAAAGCAAGCCTCCTATGTTCAGGGGCGGGAGTGGTGCCACTCATGTCATAGCACTGCAGACACGCCTCCTGTCCATAGTGCGATTGCACCCACCAGAACACGTGGTACAGCAATGTCCTGCGTTTCAGTGCAGTGCGATCCCAAAAAATAGTATGTCTGTGTGGAACGAATGGCACCAGAACACGGGTGGAGGCTTGCTTTATGCGATCCAATGCATTCTGGGCATGGAACCGTTCCAGAACACACTGGATATGGTGTGAATGTGCCCTAATTGTAGAAGGCTGCAGACTGACCTTCAAATCATCAAGCAAAAATATAAGCTTTTCCTATAGGGCACAGTGGATATTGGTGCAATATACAAATACAAACTTAATACAAATAATCCAATCTCCTGGGTATGCGTGTTAACCTCTGAGTGGCCAATCCCTAGTACATGTGTGATAAACCCTCAGTGCATGTGCATTAACCCCTCAGCATGCAGTCTGCAGCACAAATGGGATATTCCCTCACATTTATTCAATGCACTTTTTGAAATATCAGTCTCATATCTACTGCTTCTGGTGCAAAAGTGATTTACCCGAATATTGCCCAGCAACAACCTTCTGCTCCATGTCCCTAAAGCTATCTACACTGCTCTTGGTCTCAATGACACAGTCTCAACCATAATTACCTTCTAGTTCTAGTCTTATTTTTGTGTCCCTTTTCAATTTCCATTGTCACCAGTTCTACTGACCCACTCCTACACTTTGAGTTCCTGTGCACCAATTTCACAGTCCTGCGGATACACTTTATGCTAGCTCTACTGATCTGGAATATGGTTTCTGTTTCAGTGGGCCCATTTCCTAGATACTGATTTTGACCTATAACCCTCTATAAACCCCTCTGTGCACAGCTCCCATGCTGCTGCTTCACAACTGGTTAGCTTTGTTATTGGTTATTAAGTGGAATATGGAGCACACTTTTGTGTCATTTGGCTATGATCAATTTGTGACTCAAATGTTTAATTGTACTTTCTTTTACCCTATGTATTTCTCTTCTGTACATACTGTATACAGCCATACCCTCCTACGCACTCTGTACTGCTCTCTATCATACCCTCTACACGACCCTCCTGTATATACTTCCTGTTACTATATCCTATGCACTCCTCCCCTGCCTATACTTTCCAGCATCATACCCTGTGCACACATTGCCTGTTCTTATACCCTCTGCACATCTCCCCTGCACATACTGCACGATCATACACTGTGCACTCCTCTCCTGCACATACTGCCCTCTGTCATACCACGCAGACTCCATACCATGCACACTTCATCCCTGCACATACTGCCCACTGGCATACCCTTCTTACTCATCACCTACAAGTATTTCCAACTGTCAAACTCTGCACACTGCTCCCCCGCACACACTGCCCGCTATCATACCCTGCTCACTCCCCCCTGAAGACATTGTCCACTGTCATACTCTATGCATTTCTCTCCTGCACATGTTGCCCAAGATCATACCGTCCTCACTCATCACCTACAAATAGTGTCCACTGTCAAAATCCACATACTGTTCCCCGCCACACGTTGCCCACTGTCATACTCTCTTAACTCTTCTACTGAACATACTGGGGGGAATTTATCAAAGCACTTGCAACAGTTTTAGCCTCTTAGATCATTTTTTTTAATGTGCAAATCTGTCTTTTAACATGTGCCCCTGTTTTCTTCAGAGCCTGCACTACTTTTTCAACTGCATGTTTTGTGCACCTTTTTTGCACGTGTTTTCATCTAGTTTCATCTAGTTTGAAATACCCCCAACTGTGCCCATTCTGGAAAGGGCATATTTTGCTAGTCGACTAAAAAGACAGATCACCTAACCGAGCATGGTAAAGTACTAAAATGAAACTGCAAGCCTATCTCAACAATCAGTTTACCTATAACCAGTTATATTCTCTAAACAAATTCTACAGAGGACATTAAAATGAGCATACTGTATAAATGACTAATTGTAGAACATTTACTGATTGGTAAAAATAAAAAAAGTACTGACCATTTTCCTATCCCCAAAAGATAGCCAAAGGATAATGCTTTTTATTCTTTACATTAAAATAAGAAATCACTTTTTAAATAGAAATGACTTGTTTAATAATTGACATAAGTGTCCACTAGCTATGTTTCTCAGCTGAAAGGTTGTTAAAACAAATAGCAGGTTGATAATTTACTTTGCTTAGTAATCTAAATGTGAACCTTTGCACTTGGTTAACTGATGTATTTTCACTGAAACTAACTGATTGTTTATGTTCAATGTACTGACACTTTACTTCCATACTTAAGAAGCAGAAAAAGGCTTGAAAAACAACATTAGTATTGGATAGAGACAGAAGATTCTTTACAAATCTGGCACAAAAAGATTATTCTGTTGCTGCATTGCTATTCACACAGCATAGGCTGCACTGAATACAGCTGTTGTATGTATGAGCCTCCAAAGCGGAACGGTCAGCATATTAACATCACATGATTATCTGCAGTTTATGTGTACTGTTTGTGTCCTATGCCAGGCCTACTGCTCATAGAATTCTGTGGGGAAGTTCTACTGATTGAAAGTGTCAAACAAAAGCGGCTCTTCATGCCAACTGTAAAAAGATTTTCTCTTTCAGGTCACAAGTACAGTATGTGTAATAAATATATTCTGATTGTTTATGTTGTCATCATGGGAAGTCCCTCTTCAGACAATTTCGCTCATGAAACTGTATCATTCTAGTATGAAGCTGAAACCTACAGTCCTCTTACTATCAGAACCACACTTCATCATTTGTTTTAATTGTAGGTTCACAAGTCAATGTGGAAAACCATTAGATAAAGTTGTACTATTAAAAGTAAAAAAATAGAAAATAAAATAAATAGTGCAGTGTTTTTATTTAATTAAACAGTATACCAGATAAAAGACCTTATATTTCCTTAAAATATGTATAAAAATTAATTTTGGTATTTAAAATCAGTCCTGAAGCGATTCTTAACAGAAAGATGTGAACCCTGCTTAAAGTGACACTAAACTCAGTAGTTACATTTTAAAGATGCATTCAAGTACCTATTATCAAAATTGTATATTATTTGTTTATCACTTGGCTGTATATTCTCAAATCATCTCTGAATTCATGCTGACAATGTCCTTCCTTCTGGAGGGTGGCTACTTTTGTTCCCCATGGTCCCTGTGTGTGTGTTGTAAAGTAGCCACTGCTCCAAGCTCGCCCCTGTGATGGACTACAATCTCATGCTTGGTTTACCAATTTGTATTAAGTCCATCACGGGAGCAATCTTGGAGCAGTTAGGTCACTGGCCTCTGAAGCCTGGTGACTGAGGGGTTGCTACTATTGATGAGCCTGGGCTTGGTGTAAACTCAATCCACCAGAGTTCACCTAAGCCTGCTCAAAACAGTGATCAACAACCCCCCCTCCCAGCCCAATCAGTTGTGGAAAGGCACATTCCCCACCCCACAATTATATGTCACAAAGAAGCAGGGAACTGCTGCCACTAACTGAGCTATGAGGGGAGAGTGACGATTTTGAGCAGGCTTGGGCAAACTTGGTTAACACCAAGCCCAAGTTCATCTCTAGTTGTTACACATTAAAACAATGGACCACCATTTAATCACCTAAATGCTTTTCTGCACCTTCTGAACCTGGTGCCTTATGGCTGCCAACTGCTTGCGTGGGGCTATTAACAGCTAGTTTATACTATACAGCTACTCTTGGCTTTGATATCCCCCCAATTCAGTTTTTTTCTCAAAAAAAGCAAAAATAAACTGTAATAGGCTCAAAGACTCACCAATAGCATTATATAGAGGTTCGCCGGTTGTTTTGTCCCACACAACAGTTGTTTCCCTTTGATTACATACGCCAATTGCTATTAAAAAAAAAAAAAACAATGCATTACAACAACAGAATATAAAAACATAATATACATACTCTAAATCTGAACACAACAATGGATCCTGTGTATTAAAAGTCAGCGGTCAGATGAAGTAGTGCGCATTTCACTTTCTGTCCCTTCCCATGTAACATGACATACCAGCTCATTTATATATTTTATTAAATACCTTTGATATTAGTGATTTCTATGCTCAGCTGATTTAGTTTCTCACAAGTCTTTTCTACGCATTCATACACCGACTGTAAAATTTCCTTTGGATCTTGCTCTACCCACCTGTAAAGTGAAAAGAAAAAAACCGAATGCAACACAAATGCACAGGAGTATGGGCGTAGAAATGTAAACATTTTCTCATAAATTTTGAATGGAAGTTTTATATACGCAGGATGTACAGCAGTACAATGGAATATGCATAAAGTTTCAGTTTATGAAAGGCTATAGTGAGCAATTCAAGAGTGTGCTATCACATTCTATGATGGGCAAAAAGAAAGAAGAAAGGGTGTGGGGTTTGTGGCTGGGGAAGAAGGGAAAGGGGTAAAGGGTCAGGAGTTTTACAGCTGGGGAGACAGTCTTAGCTGCCGGGGCAGACTTGTTTATTTGATGGGTTGAGTATAAAGGTTTAGTAGGCAGCGATCACAATCTGAAGGTGGATAATGTTGAATTTATGGGGACCACACCTTCTCAATGGAGGCCATTTTTTCATTCAGTATAGCAGTCTTTTTGTTTTGCATCTTTTTGTTAAGCTTTATTTAAGATATCCTTGATTTGACCTCCTGTAGGTTTAGATTTCCATACATTTGCTATGGCTTGCTTAGTTGCTGTGAGAATGAACCTCAAAAGTTTGAATTCAACATGTGTGAGCCCCTCTGATCATTTAAGGATTAAAGCTTTAAATTAGATCTTTGCTAAAGATTACTGAAGGATATTGTTCAATATCTGAGAGGTGCTAGACCATGGTTTAAGCACCACTGGGTATGCCCGCCATATATGGTGGAAGGTGCCAACTTCATCACAGCCCCTGGAGCACTGTGGGGAAGAATCTGGAGTAAATTTGACTATTCAAGATGGCACAAAGTACATTCAATAGAGCAAATTATAGTTCACCTTGATGGCATTTATCCTGGAGAGCTAGATTTTGTTGTTTGACAGACTTAAAGCCAATCTTCCATATTTTAAAGATGTCCCAGACTTTCAAATAATGGACTGTGATAGGGTTAAGAATGTCCTGTCTATCTTTAGGCAAGATCCATAGAAGATTGTTAGTGTGAAGTGGGTGAAGGGCTATCAATTATAGACTGGTCCAGAGTGGGATTTTTGTATAACAGTAAAACATAAAGAATGTTTAGTTAGGCTTTAAAGAGCAACTGCAAGCAAGAAGTCCAAACTCTGATGATAACAGAGCTCATCTGAACCTAAAAAAAGGTCAGAAGACTAATCCTTGCAACGCATAACTAACCTTCTCCTGTCTTAGCAGATGTATTAGTTTGGGGTGACCATTACTGTGTGATGTTATGCAAGTATTAAAACACTACTAAAAAAAAAAAAAAGGACCGATTATAAAGCAATATAAAAAGAGATAAAAGTAGGTGAATATATTCTGAAGAAACCGAGTACATAGCATGCACGTAGGTAACAGGCAGCAATAAAACATGGCAGGAATTAATAACTTGTGACATTGACTCACCCTTCTTTTGGAAACTTCTGTTTAATTTCCACTTGATGATGACTAAGCAGCTCAGCTGTTTTGGCATTAAAGACCTGTACAATGCAAGACATGATTTCTCAGTACTGCAGAATGTAATGAAGGGCAGAGGAAGAAGTCACACTATACTGTGATTTCTTCGTCTCAGATAGTAAAAGTAACATTGTATACCTCTCAGTGTGAAGAATTACCTACAAACCAACACTAAGGGGGTTATTCACAAAAGGGTGAAGAGTTTGGAGAAGGCAGGAGAAGTGAACAATCTAGGAGAACAGGACTGAACTGGAAAGTGAGCTGAATTGGTGATTTTTTCCAAATCAGCTTTTTTGGCCTAGATTATTCACTTCTCCTGCCTTCTACACACTCTTCACCCTTTTGTGAATAACCCCCTAAATGTGTGTCTTGTCAGATAGAAGTTGTTTAGTTCTTGTTCACATACATCCACCATATGTGTTGCATATGGTGGTGTGTAGCTCTAGACAAACCACAGTAAACAGGCAGCTTCAGGTCTAAAAGGCCTGCCAAAATGCTGCAGAATTTGGACTGATACTCTCACCTATGAACACGGTCAGAACTGCTTAAGAACCAGCAAATCAAGGCTGCAGTGTGTCTAGACCCTTTAGAGGTCTGCTTATGTCCTAATTTGCAGAGCCATTTGTCCTGCAAATGTCTGTGAACATTTGCTTTGTACGAATAGGCAAAAACAAATGTTCTTAGTATATTTTCTTTCCAAGTCGAATGTAAAATTCAGAAAATACCACTAGATGGAGCTGAGGAGCACAGGAACCTATACTCCTTAGCTCCATCTAGTGATCATAATGAGGTATTTTCTGACTTACATTTAACCTGAAAATTAAAACGCTAAGGCCTTGTTCACACCAAGCGCGGAGCAGATCCAGACCAGAGCAGGTGCAGACCGGATCAAAACTGCGTCCAATGTATTCCTATGGTATTTTGACCTCCAGTTCACATTGCAGCGTGCGGATCCAGACCAGATCCAGGGCAGGTGAAAAAACTGCGGCAAGCCCTATTTTACCTGCTCTGGATCTGCTCTGAAACGCATAAAAAATGCATCAAAAACGCAACGCAATGCAACCCAATGGGAAAAAATAACCATAAAGAAAAAAAACCTCTATGGTCATCTGTCATGACCTAATCTTCCTTTGTCACTTCCTGTCTTTGGAAAAGGTGACCTTGTGAGCTGGAGAGCAAAGGAAAAATGGTGGACCAGTTTTGTGACCCAGAGAGATTCATAAGTATGGTTCAACAGTGCCCTGAGCTATATGACAGCAGACACTTTCAATATAAGAACAATAGAAAGAAGGCTGACCAGTGGAGTTTGATAGCAGGGGGAGTTTTCCCAGGATATAAGGATATGTCCTTGACAGATAAGGAGAGCTGTGGTGAGTACTTCAATGTGAATGGCATTGTATACTAGTAGTTCCTCAAATGCAGTATTCCATCCATCCCCCTTCCCCCCACCACTCCTCCTTATCACACTGCCTGTTTGCTCACTGACGCCTGCAGCTGCTTTTCATGCAAAAAAAAAGCATCAAAAACGCGTCAAAAACGCATCGTGCGTGTGCAGAAACCTGACCGGATCTGGTCTGCATTTGGTGTGAACAAGGCCTAAGAAGTTTTCTTTTATGACGTTCTGTGCCCAGATGATTTCACTTCACGTTATGCCGCTTCATGGGATACAACAGGAGGTGAGAGGAAAGCTCTCCACTTAGACAATTGTCACCGTAACAGGTGGTCTTCAATTAAAGATATCCCCTCTATTGCTGTTTAGGTGACGAGCATAAAATTCCAATTTTCCTGCATTTTTCTCTGGTGTTATTATAGTCAAGCAAATCGGAAGGTGCAATTCCCCTTCAGGCACACAGAGAACAATAAAAACCTGACAGGGGGTGTCAACATTTCTTTGCATTCTATACATTACAGCGTAACTCAGCCAAAATAGTTTAGCTTCAAGCAGATTGGGGAAGACAACATTTTGGTCAGGTATTATATCTGCCTGTGAGAACAATAGGGAGTTTTTGCCTTATTCCCTGCCACATTAAAAGGTTAGTTCACCTTTAGTGCGGTGTACCGCACCAAATGAACGCAGGCCACGGCTAGCACACATAGAATACAATGGTTTGCTATATATTTCAATTACATTATAACGCAGTGGCAGGTGCACTGCAATAAAATACAAACACAATGCATTTGATCACAGAGCACTGCATGTCACTGCAGAGCAGAGCAACTCACTGCCGTGTGGTGACCTGGATGGAGTGTACATATTACACACTACACATAAAAGCTGAAGAAAAAACAAATGTCAACCGCGACAGCTCCGATACAAGGCACACTACTGGAACTGTCACAACCCTCTAGCCCGTCCACTGAAACACAGCGTTCCAGCAGACAGGCTAGTGTGAACATGCCCGCAATGTTATTTTTTTTTTTTACATCTATTAACATTAAAGCTTAAAATGAATATTAAAACAAATACTGTACTCCACTTTTAAAAGTGTTACTTACTTTTATTAATGCTGCTCCTATGAGCTCCCTCTCTCTGTCTCAACCTCATGGCAGGATGGCCCAACCATTTGATGTGCAACCTCAGCTCCTCATAACTCAGCACTTCGCTAGGAGACCTGGGCTTGGCTAACTATCACTTGCAGAATGCCGAGGTCAGACGCAGGATCATTAGAAAGTGGACTGCACATGTATGGTTAGAAAGCCAAATTCTCCTAGCTGAGTGCTCATTCATGGGAAGCTGGGGCCACCCCTCCAATGGTTTGCCCACGGGAGCAGCATTAATAAAAGTAAGCATTATTTTATAAAAAGGAAGAGCTATTTAATGTATTTAAAAAAAAAAAAAACATTTTTAAAAAGGTGAACTAACCCTTTAATAGCTATACAAGAAATGGGGGTGCACATATCACTGGGACAGGAAGGCACAGGGAGCAAAAAAAAAACCTTGCTCAGAAATTCTAATCCTTCCCCACTCTACTAAAAATAGGGTTGAAGACATTTGATAGCGCTTCCTGTTTTGGAAAATCTCCCTAGTAGAATACATATGGGAATAAAACACAAGGCTCTAACCTTAGCATGTGCTCTATCTAAAACAATGTAAAAAATATTAGGTGGAGTTTGGCTTTAAAAATAAACTTGTAGGGATCCCAGGCAATTTATACTGAGCATATTAATATATAAACTGCATAAGCAGAATTCTCTTCAGTGAAAAAGATTTACATTAAACCACCCATAGATCAAGAGATACAGTATATGCTGTAGTTTTCCTATAGAGGTTGTGCAAAGACTTGATCCCTCCTGCACCTCCCTATAGGTCAGTGAGGGATTTTTTTTTCATATTAAAAAAGGGGCATTAGGGAGAGGGATTGAGCCAAGGTCAATATTTACTGGAAAAGCACAGGCTCACATATCTCTGGACTTCCAATGCATTTCGTCATCCTGTTTTCACAAAAGGTGGCCTTCCCCTATGCATGTTTCCCAACACAAGCTCAGTTTTAATTGCCAGGATTTGTGACAGGCCTGTGCCGAGAGCAACACACTGGCAGCCAATGCAGATCTCTCCTTGAGAAAATGCCAGTTTCCTGGCTGCCAACTCTATGGCTTCAACAGTTTCGGAGTCCCTGACATGGAACAGATATGTAGATTGTGAGTTTACCTTCACTTGCTGCATGCTTTATTTGAGATGGTAACGTAAATATGATTAAAGCCAGACAAAGCCATGCAACCAAGGTTGTTGCAAGGACAAAGCAAAGTGAACCACAAACTACTTCAAGGGAGCATGATTAATCCCTTCATCAGTTTATTTTTTGCTCCACGTGGCAATTCCCATCAGGTGTATTACAAGGAAGAAAATGGACGCAGCCACAAATAGCTATTGTTTTCTTAGGCGGATTGCCAAACAGGATATCACCATAGCACCTGCATTGATACCATTAGTGCACCATTATAGCAGACCTTGGTGTCATTTAAAAGGCCTAGCTGTTTGCTCCGCAACTGATCAAATACAATAGGCAGGTCTGATTATTGGCAGGGAGCCCAGATTGCAGCCTGCAGAAAAAATATATGATTAAATAACAAAATGAGCAGAAAACTCACACTGAAGTGCTCAGCCAGGAGAGGATTATAGGCCTCATCCAAGAAAGCATCATTCATAGTAGCGAGATAACAAGCAATATACTGAATTTAGAAGTGGCTGATACTAGATACAATTGTCTCATCTCTTGCAGGTTGCTCCAAAACAGGCCACTGAAATGGCCCCAGACACAGAAAATGAAGTCACAGAATTCAGGACGCAATACATCACTTGTTTTACATACCAGCTATTTTAATGGTCATAAAAAGAGGTCATAAAATGTACAATTATTTGGTAACTCGATAGAGATAGAGATAGAGATAGAGATGATAGATATATATATATATAGCAGGAATTTTAGAGATTTTGTTTTGATAAAGTGTGTTATAATGTTTCGTGTATTTTTACTGAAAAGATCGTTCTTGTAAATATTTGCACAACGGTCACAGGATATACAAAATCATCAACACCATCTTTTAATTATAAACATCCTGCGTTTTAAGTAAATATTGAGCTATTGCCCACTATATGCAGACAGGAATCAACAATATTGTTGAGGTCCAACCCGCTACCTGATTGACAGCTGGCCATGCCTCTCTAGAGCCAGAGCCAGCTGTTGCAGCCATTAGTTCTTGATCAATAGAGCTGATGTGTGACACGTCGGCTCTAACTATGGGTGTGAGTGTATTTTACTCATCCCATAGTTCTCCTTTAAGGCTGTAATGTGCAAATGCAAAATTGCAAAAACAGTCCGGCTACACGATGTCCAAATGGGTGACACAGCCTGAAACCAAAAAGGTTAAAAAGGACAGCAGATACAAAATAAAAAAATAAATAAAACACACAACAACCCTCTCCTCTTGAACTTAAAGGGGTTCTAATCCCTCCGGTTTTTTTTGCCTACATCTACTGCTAGCCAGCAGTAGAAATATGCAAAATGTTTTTTAAAAAAACAAA